AAAAACACCAAGATTATGGCAACAAGAATGATTGACAACTGGAAATAGAGGGAGAAACCGTGGAGGCCGTGACAGACTTTGTATTTCTAGGTGCAAAGATGACTGCAGATGCAGACTGTGGCCAGGAAATCAGAAGACGCTTCCTTCTTGGGAGGAGAGCAATGTCCAGTCTCAATCAAATAGTAAAGAGTAGAGACATCAGACTGACAACAAAGATCCACTTAGTCAAAGCCATGGTATTCCCTGTAGTAACCTACGGATGTGAGAGCTGGACCTTAGGGAAGGCTGAGCGAAGGAAGAGAGATGCTTTTGAGCTGTGGTGTTGGAGGAAAGTTCTGAGAGTGCCTTGGACTGCGAGAAGATCCAACCAGTCCATACTCCAGGAAATAAAGCCCGACTGCTCATTGGAGGGAAGGATATTAGAGGCCAAGATGAAGTATTTTGGCCACATAATGAGAAGACAGGAAAGCTTAGAGAAGACAATGATGCTGGGGAAAAGTGGAAGGCAAAAGGAAGAGGGGCCGACCAAGGGCAAGATGGATGGATGGCATCCTTGAAGTGACTGGACTGACCTTGAGGGAGCTGGGGGTGGTAACGGCCGACAGGGAGCTCTGGCGTGGGCTGGTCCATGAGGTCACGAAGAGTCGGAGACGACTGAACGAATGAACAACAACAAACATAAACCTCACTTGTCTTGTCTCCAACAGATCTCAACACCTCTGAGAATGCTTGCCATAAATGTCGGGAAACATTAGGAGAAAATATTTCTGGAACATGGCCATACAGCCTGGAAAACTCACAGCAACCCAGTGATTCTGGCCATAAAAGCCCTTGACAAAATAATATTTCATGAAACTGATTTCCAGCAAGGACAACTGAATTAACTCATCCTGTGTTTCCCAACCTGAGGCCCACTAGATGTTGTTCAACTACAAAACTCTCGTATTTGCACCATGTGTTTAAATACATTTATTATGTGGTCATGTGTTTCAATGTGTGCATTTTATGGTGATGTGTATTATCAAGCCTTAAGGCTGTGAGAAGATGCAAGTAACAAAAAGCATTTATTATTATTTTACTGACACAAAAACACAGTATGTCACAGCAAACGAGATATATATGCTGGATTTTGTATCACAAAATCACAAGTTGAACACTTCCCAAGCGTCTATGACTGTGATCTATTTTCGAATGAAGCGTGCAGATCCAAGTAAGGTGGCCTTTTGCAGTTGACATTGATTTTTTCAATGTTTACTGTTTCCAAATGTCGGCTGAGATCTTTTGCCACGGCACCCAGTGTGCCGATGACCACTGGGGCCACCTGTACTGGTTTATTCCAGAGCCTTTGCAGTCCGATTTTGAGGTCCTGATAACAACTGAGTTTTTCCTGTTGTTTTTACTCAATACAACTGTCACCCAGTGTGGCAACATTATTATTATTATTATTATTATTATTATTATTATTATTCATAATATATCATTGATCATGCTGGCTTGACTGGTACTTGGATTCAACATTAGGTACCACTGAACACATCCACTGTGGCTTGAGTGGAAATAATCTGCAGCACAGAACTAGCTGGGCCATGTGTGCATCTTCAAAGGCCTTTGCCCCGAGGCCTGTAGAGGGGTCACACAGGTTTTTTAAAATGTTGAAAGACAGGAGCAGAACTGGGTCAAAGTCCACTTCAGGTTTAGGAAGAAAGGTCTTTTCATTTCATGTTAAACAGTGCAAAGGGGCCCTGCAATCTATTTTGTGCAGCTCCAAAAAAGAGCTGAGGGAATTTGGGTGAGGTCCCGGAGGAATGAAAACATCTATAGTCACTGCACGTGACAGCTGAAAGGTACAAAAGTGGGAATATGCTACACCCATTCTGGATTCTACAGCACTCTGAGCTTCAGAGAGTTCAGGCAAAGCTTGGATTGTTAGGTTTCACAATTAATTAGATTATGTCAATTATTAGAAATTAGGAAACGGATTCCTTATTACCACAAATAATAATTTAAAAATTCTAACTATTGAAATTGGCCAAGATGCCTTTTTTTAACATGTAATTGAAAATCCTGGGTTGGGTATACCATGCTATTTACAGAGTACAGCATGGAAGCTGGCACTGTTGAAGCTATGGGTGCATTTTGTTGACTCTGTTAAAGTGGCTCTTTTTGACTAAGTTGTCTTCCTGCATCCTAGAACGTTCCCCACATGAACTACAAAGCTCATAATATTGTTGTTGCTTGGTAACTGTGCGGCTCGGATATATCTAGGAACTGACAGCCTGAGAAAAACTGCCTTAAAGCATGAACTCTCATCTATTCATTTACGTTGTCAGTCATTTGCATCTCTTTTTGTTCTGCACCCACCAACAAGTACACTTATTTATTTATCATATCAGAAGCAAACCAAGGGTATAGTTGTTATGTATATTTAAAAAAACACAACATTTTAAAACTTGACATTCTATTAAATGTCTTTTGACCAGTAGCTGGCCACTTGGAGTGCGTCTGGTGTTGCTATAAGAAGGTCCTCCATTTTGCATAGGGCAGGGCTCACACTGCATTGTAATAGGTGGTCTGTGGTTTGCTCTTCTCCACTTTGTGGCCCCATTTCTTAAGGTTGACTCTACATCCCATAGTGCCAGAGTGCAGTCTGTTCAGTGCCTTCAAAGTCGCAGTTTTCTTTGTGCCCAGGAGAGGTTATCTCATTCACAGATTTTGGTGTTGGGTTTTAGCCTGCCACTTTTGGACTCTCGCTTGCTGTGGTATTCTTACAAATATATCTGTAGATCTTAGAAAACATGTACACTTCATTTACTTTTAAAATGTCTTAGTGAAAGATTAAGATTTATGTTAGAAAGCACAGATACAGCAACAATTGCCTTGCTAAAGATGCTTCATTGAATCAGGAGTGAATAATGGTTAACCACAAATGCTTTGAAAGTCTCTGAGCATAATTTTTCCTGGAAGTTACCATAGACTTACCTTGGAAAACCTGTCATATTCTAAGAGAATACATCTCTAGGAATTTCTGTGTCCACCCAAAATGAACTTCAGCAAATGCAAAATAATCCACATAGGCAGAAAAAAATGAAATGCAAAGATACAGAATGAGGGATACCTGGCTTGACAGAAGTATATATGAAAAAGAACTTGGAGTCCTCATGGACAAGTTAAAAATGAGCCAACAATTTGATGCAGCAGCTGAAAAAGCCAATAGGCCTGCCAAATCCTATCGGTGTCTAGATCCAGGGAAGTCATGCTACCCTTCTATTCTGCCTTGGTCAGATCACACCTGGAATATTGTGTCCAATTCTGGGCACTGCAATTGAAGGGAGATGTTGACAAGCTGGAATGTGTCCAGAGCAGGGCGACTAAAATGACCAAGGGTCTGGAGAACAGAGAGCTGGGAATGTTTAGCCTACAGAAGAGAAGGCTGAGAGGAGACATGATGGCCATGTATAAAGATGTGAGGGGAAGTCACGGGGAGGAGGGACCAGATTTGTTTTCTGCTGCCCTGGAGACTAGGATGCGGAACAATGGCTTCGAACTACAAGAAAGGAGAATCCATCTGAACATTAGAAAGAACTTCCTGTGAGAGCTGTTCAGCAGTGGAACTCTCTGCCCTGGAGTGTGGTGGAGGCTCCTTCTTTGGAGGCTTTTAAACAGAGACTGGATGGCCATCAGTTGAGGGTGTTTGGAATGTGATTTTCCTGCTTCTTGGCAGAGGGTTAGACTCAATGGCCCATGAGGTCTCTTCCAACTCTATGGTTCTCTAGGTCATACTAGGCAGCTCTATACTATTTTGGTTCTAGAAGTGAGGGGATTCAATGAAATTCATGCATATCTATGGTTTCACAAAACGCGGTTGGGAATATATTTCCTACACCAGTGACGGTGAACCTTTTAGAGACTGGAATAACCTTGTAACCGTTATGTTTAGTGCAGTGGTTCTCAACCCGTGGGTCCCCAGATGTTTTGGCCTACAACTCCCAGAAATCCTAGCCAGTTTACCAGCTGTTAGGATTTCTGGGAGTTGAAGGCCAAAACATCTGGGGACCCATAGGTTGAGAACTACTGGTTTAGTGCCTATCATGCCCTCACAAAATCTAGACAGTTATGACCCATTAAAACCAGCACTATGCAGCAACTTGCATGTTGGACTAAGACTCTGGGAGACCAGTGCTCAATTCCTCTCAGCATACACAATTATATCAATGAACCAATCAAAGCAGTATTAATCCCTAATTAGATATTTTTTGTAAAGTTAATGACATTTACTTGTCAGTGAAATACCTAGCAAACAAATATGGATTCTGGGAAAATCCACTGCACCCTAAACCAAAATCAGAAATGATAGAGAAACTTGAATGGCAAAGATCATATAATTTTCTTTGCCAATCAATAAAACCCTTTGATACCATAAACATTTGTTATATTGCATCAATTATACTCAAACTTTGATCTTCCATGTGTTGAGCTCCCAGAAGTTCTGATCTGGTCAACAGAAATTCTGGAAGCTGAAGTCTATCACTCCCTTATTTATAATCCAGCAGTTTAAGCATTCCCTTCTCACCTCCATTGAAGGTCCTCATTCAGAGCCCTCTTCCTCTGAGCCCAACCAATGCCACCTCCAAGAAGGAAGAGCAATAATGCTGAGCACTAACCCCTTTTTCTGTTTTCCCAAGAGATGGGAGAGATAGCAACAGCAGGTTCCAAGGCTGAGTGCTCTAGAAATTGATTCCTCTATTGGTAGAATGAGTCTTGAAATCTCTGCTCCAAATCCTCCTTATCATGAATCAATAGTTTCTTTGATCACAGATAGGGAAGTCTAGGATATTTCAATAATCTATCTTTAGTCTTACAACTGCAAGGCAATAGCAAAGAGGTGAAGTTTTCTTCTACCAGATACTGAAAATTGTCACAAAAAGAAGAATCCCTAAAGTCTATCTGTAGTGAACATAAGATTACGTATGTACAACAATATTTAGGACCGACTCAAAATATTCTGTTCCAATTGGGAAACTGGCTTTATTTTGCTCAAGAGTTAACTTTCTCTTAGAGCTGGAAGCAGAAAAAAATTAACTTGAAGGGGTGTTTTACCCCATTGATTAGCAGCAGCAACAAATGGAGTGTATCAAGTCTTAGAAATGTGAATCTGAAGAAATCTTGGACCTGGTTTAAAGTTCAGCAGAAGAAAATTGCAAAAGTGTCTTTAAAACCATTTTTGTTCAGGGTACCAGATCAAAATTACAAAACAGGCCCCAGTGATCACTAGGAAACCTGCCACAGTCTAGTTTTTCAAGCCCAATTAAATCCAAACTCTGAGGAATAATTTGCCCGCCAGCAGACGCTGCTCGAAGGAAGAGGCGATCAAACCGCAATTTGCACTTGTAACGGGCCTCCAAATTAGTGTTTTGACTTGTGTCCCACGTGTACTTGCAATGTTCCGGCTTGCCCAAGAACTCCCAAATATCCAGAACATTGTTTGGTAATCCTCCTATTTTAGCAACCTGATGGAGAGAAAAAATGAAAAAATTAAAATGAAAGAAAAACAGAAAGAGTACTCTACTATGTGTACTACAGCTTGAGTATTCCTTATCCGAAATACTTGGGACCAAAGTGCTTTGGACTTTGCAGTGTTTAAATACTTCTAATTGCATATCTATCCATAATGAAATTTCTTGGAAATAAAACTCAAGTCTAAATACAAATGCATTTATGTTTTATATACACCTTACGCACATAGTCTTAAGGTAATTTTATACAACATTTTAAATAATTTTGTGCATGAAACAAACTTTGTGTACACTATCTCAGGCAACCAGATGGGCAATTCTGGATTTTGGAATTGCAGCTAAGCAATGCTCAATCTATAGAAAAAACAATTTAGAAACAAAAGTTTGTCACAGTCACTTTATATCTTTTTATATGGTTTTCAGAGAGCTGGGAACTTTAAGAAACTTGTACAAGTGTCATAAGATGAAATATTGCAACTTCCATAGGATGTTGTGCTTTCCTTCAAAGAATATGCTAAATATTCTTCCTTTGCTCTTTGCTATCATTCTGAGCTGAATGAACTGATGCAAATATTCATAGTTCACGAAGACAGAAATGAACACTAGGACTAAGTGCATCTCTGACTCAATATACATTGATTTTCAGCGGGGTAGAGATCCCTGCCAGAGTTCACGTGATTTCAATAACTGGGAAATTCTGGCTTAATGTGAATTAATAATATAATAATAAAACTTTATTTATACCCCACCACCATCTCCCAAAAAGGACTCAGGGCAGCTTACAGAAGCACATCCAAGTGTCATAACCACATAAAATACTGGTAGGATCACATCAACGTATTAGACAATATCTGTTCACATAAAAACATCACATTACAAAAATAAAAACCCATCCCAATTAAAATAAATAAAACATATTACTAATTGGCATTAAAATGAAAAGTAAACGTGACCTTGCTTCTTAAGTGTATTTTAAGTTGGGGATTAAATCTCACAAAATAACGTTTCCCATCACTGTTTTAAGATAGACAACAGGTGTATGGGTTTCAGAGTTGAATCACTACTTTGGAGACCAGGATTCTATTTCCTGCTCAGCCATGAAAAGTCACTGGGTGACCCTGGGCAAGTCGCACTCCTTCAGCCCCGGAAAATCAGCAAATGACTTGAAGGCACACAACAACAAATCATTACCGGTATTTACTCAAGTCTAATGTGCCAATGAGTCTAATGTGCTCCTCAATTTTTAAAATTCTGAAACCCAAAAGAGTATTTACCATATTACGCAAATCTAATGCACACCCTAATTTTGGGAAGGTAATTTAATAAAAAAAGTGAGTATTGGAATTGAGTAAATATGGTACTTTGACTGTGTTATACTTGGAGATATTCAAAATGTTCAAACCCAATTAATGTTGAGTTAGTCCCATATAACTGAGCCACCAGGACTGGGAGTCAGCTGCATTAAGATTACTACTGACCAAAAGTTCATGAGTTTGAAGCCAGCCCAGGTCTGAGTGATCGTCTGACCTTTTTGTAGCTTGATGTCTACCTTTGCAACCCGAAAGACAGCTGTCAAGTAGGAAATTTATGTACCGCTTATGCAGGGAGGCTAATTTAACCAATTTACGACACCATAAAATCTCCAGCAAGCAAGCAAAAAAGAATGAAGAATTACTTCATCAGTGTCACATATGGACGGTGAAGTGACAGCTCCCCTGGTGGCCAGAATACCCTCATGAAAGCTGGAAAGTTAAATAGCCTCTGTGTGTCTGTCTATGTACATTGTAATCCGCCCTGAGTCCCCTGCGGGGTGGGAACGGTGGAATATAAATATAAGTAAGTAAGTAAGTAAGTAAATACATTTGTCATAAAATCATTAGCAACCCAACAGATTGAAAAGTAGGCATTAAGAAAGCACTCCCCCTTAGCAACAGTCTTCTAATTTGGGGACAAATAACATTGTTCATTTTGGAAAAGAAGGAATTTTAAAGAAACCTTTTTTGTAAAGGAATTTGCAAGTTTCTTTTCCCAGAGATCACTTGTTGCTCACAGAAGATCCAAAGACAAGCATACCTCACTTAACAAACCCTCTGCCGTAAAACTGATAAAAGACTTTTATTTCTGCCCAACCCGTCCTCCTTATAATAACAACAACAATAAATCTTTATTTATATCCCGCTTTTCTCCTACAAAGGGACCCAAAGCAGCTTACAACATATTACACACAATACAAGTCCAAAACAATCGGCATATATAACACATAAAACCATCTATAAAAGAAAACATAAATAAGCATTTAAAACCAAATACATCCTTGTCCTCTGTCTAGCTGAAGTTTTTTTAATAGAGTTAACAAAGGAAGAAAAATGAAGGAAAGCTGGAGAAACTGGATTTCAGTGTTGTGTTACAGTAAACAATGCAATAAAGCTTGACTTGGGAAAGAGCAGGATTCTGCACTAGCTGACCCCACTTAGCTGTGCGTGCCTGCTTAAAACAGGAGAGGTAAGCAAAAGGTACCTCCGCAATTTGAGAAAGTGCAAATATCAGAACAGAAAAAAGGTGAAAAGATAAACTCCTTGCCTCATCAGCTGCCACCAGAAGGTTAAAAATAAAACCATTAAATCTGTCAGTGACCAACAAAATTGAAATCATAAGTGGTTGGTGGGGAAAGAAGTAGTCATCAATGGATGCATTAGACAAAAAGTTTTCAACTGGCCTGTTTTCTTTGTTTGTTTTTACTTATGCAAGACTTGTTTGTTGCATTAGTTTTGATAAAAAGTTTGCTGAAACCCGAAATGCCTGCTTTTTAGTGGTTTAGGAACCTTTCCTTATTCCACCTATGTAATTTCAGCATTTGAAGAAGCAAGGCCCTGGAGCACAACTGCCTCATTAACTGCAAAATACCTGTAAAGTCAACAATGACTTTTATAAAATAGCTACAAAAGAAACCCTCAAGCAGTTTTACTTCAGTTTACCTCTTTGTCTCTTAGATTTGTATCTCCTCCAAAGATTACAGTAGAAGACTCGGGAACCTCTTTCATTTTTGCCAGCACCATTTTCAACTGGTTTAAACGTTCCTCGCCATGGTCCTTAGTACTTTCTAGATGGGAAGTCATAAAGCACAGCTCATTGCCAAAAACAGTTGCCTGTTAAAAGATAAAGTTGTAAAATAAATGTTACATGGATGGGGCTGTTACATCATGATGCCAATTTTCCTTACAATATTGGTTAATTCCCCCTACTCATCAAATTCGGCCCTATAGTTTTGATTAGCCGAAAGACAGGTCTTTTCTCAGACTGGATTCTGGGAATATGGTGGCATTCCAAATATTACTGGGTTATAGAATTACTCAAGCATAACTAGCACAACCAGTGGTGAGGGATAATGGAGCTGTAAACCAAGAACATCTATATCAGAGCTTTCCAACTGAGTGTTGTGACATATTAGTGTGTGAATGAGACGAGAAACCTCTGAGACCATGTGAAATAAGCAATACATAAAAAAAATTAAAATACGAAGGGAAAAGGTTTCCGTGAAAAATGTTGTCTCCCTATATGTTTCATTATTAGAGTTTAAGTATGTTTCCATATTTCTTATAAGGGGTTGGGATAATCTCCAGTTTGCTAGGAGAACTGGATTACTGTGATGCAAAATGATGAAAGTGTAAAAAGTGTGTCATCAACATGAAGTGTTTGGAAAGCTTTGATATGTATGATACATGTTCTTTGTTAGAAATATTAAAAATTAACTAGATATTTTTAATTACAAAAATGTGAGTTAAGCACTGAAAGGGTTAAATGGATGCAATGACTCAGCAAAAGCTATAGTTCAATATAAGCAGGTGTGCCTGTAGCTTAGAAGTTTTCAGTCTGTAAGAGGTCTCTGTTGGAGAAGGGCTTCAGTGTGTAAGTCTCAGTTTGAGAAGGCCTCAGTGTTAGTAGGCCTCAGTTTGAGAATGCCTGGTGTGAGAAGTTTCAGTGAGAGAAGCTACAGGTTGAAGGCCTTGTGTGGGAAGGCTGCGGTGTGTAAAAAGCTACTGTGTGAAGCTCTTGTGTAACTTCAATCTGAGAGGAGGCTCTGTGAGAGTGAAGTTGTTTATCTGCATAAGAAAGCAGCCTAGCGTGGAAACAAAGAAGGAAGTATAAAGAACTTGTTCTTGTAAATAGTGCAACTATATTATTTTGCTATAAAGAACAGCCTCCTATGGAAGAGATAACATTAGTCTCTGTGTTTTGGCTACTGATGATGGTCATGCTGCTGCTAATAAGTTACTCTGCTGTGCATTTATGAAGAGGGTATTTGGTTAATAAGCCCATTCGCCCAACATTCGTTACCTCCATTTTAGGTATATTGCTATCTTAAATTTCTTATCTCTCTATCTTAGGCTGGAAACCTAACACCGTTTCCGCCTGACAGTTTATCAATTTAACCCACTTCAGAGGACTTGTAATGTTAGAACAAATAATGTTGTCCTTAAACTAAACATACGGTTCACTCACATGCACTGCTAGCAAATTTCTCATCATAGATGTTGTAGGAAAAGGTATTATTTCATGTTTTATTATTTTTACTCTTGACTTTTTTAACATTATGGCAGTAAAATATCCATCCGTATTACCTGAAGAGAGAGAGAAACACATACAGAGAAAAAAGAGGTTAATATTAATGACATCTCATTTAATTTTTTTGTGTAAAACAATGCTTTTGGGTTTGAAAGATTAGCTGTTTACAAGAAACATTGCCCAGGGGGTGCCTGACTATATTTACTCAGTCTTCAAGGGGAGGTTCTTTCTGTGTCCAAAGAATGGGCAACTGAACAGACTCAGAAGCGGAGTTGGCAGATCAGAAGAAAACCTGGAAAATGGCACTACTTAAAAGAATCCTTCAGCTTGTGTGATTGTGGAGCAGAACAAACAACTCAGAATCTGTATGCTTGCTCACAATCCTGTGGCTCATGCACAGAGAAAGAATTGTTTAAAGCTACAGACAATTCAGTCGCTGTTACCTGTTTTTAGTCTAAAACTATCTAGCAGCTTGTGATCCCTTTATTTTATCAGTTTAGATAAACTATTTTATGCAATGCTTTCGACTTTAAATAAATAAATACATTTTTGTCTAACAGAAAATAGTGAGCTTAATTTTATGCAGAATGCACCACCCCATGCTTTTGCTTCCATTTTTATTTACTGTAGTTCAGTGTAATCTTAACCACTAAACTATGATCAGTCTTAATCTATGACCTACTGAAATGAGACATCTAAACCCATAGGTAGTATTAACCTCAGTTTGTCCAGATTCACATACAATGCAGTGTGTCTCTGTGGCACTCACATATTGACATCCTCAAATTAGCATTAGATCTCAATGAAACCAAGAGTACAAAGTCCAACAAATTCCTCGCTTGCCTTGCAGACAATTTCATGGTCCAGAAGGTAGAAGAGGCAACAAGGGGATTGGCTACTCTTGATCTCATCCTAACAAATGTGGAGGACCTGATCGATGTGGTTGAAGTGGTAGGATCCTTAGGGGCAAGTGACCATGTGCTCCTGCAATTTGAGGTACAAGGCCGAAACTAAGACAAGTCAAACCCGCATTTTGGACTTTAGGAGAGCTGATTTCCAAAAAATGAAGGAAACACTGAGCAGCATTCCGTGGACACAGATACTAAAAGACAAGGGAGTTACGGATGGATGGGAGTTTCTCAAGAGTGAAATACTCAAGGCGCAGTTGCAAACCGTGCCAACAAAAAGAAAAAATAGGACAAGTGCAAAGAAGCCAGAATGGATGTCCAAAGAACTTCTAACTGTGCTGAGACACAAAAGAGACATGCACAAGAACTGGAAAAAGGGAGAAATCACCAAAGAAGAATTCAAACAAATAGCCAACAGCTGTAGGGAAAAGGTCTGCAAGGCTAAAGCTCAAAACGAGCTCAGGCTTGCCAGGGACATTAAAAACAATATAAAGGGATTCTTTTCTTATGTCGGTAGAAAAAGGAAAAACAAGGAGGCGATAGGGCCTCTTCGAGGAGAAGATGGGGCAATGCTGACAGGGGATAGGGAAAAGGCAGAACTACTTAATGCCTTCTTTGCCTCGGTCTTCTCACAAAAAGAAAGTCATCTTCAACCTCAGCAAGATGGAGTGGATGAGAGATTAGAGGACATCCAACCCCAAATTGGGAAACAAGTCGTCCAGGAATACCTGGCCGCTCTAAATGAGTTCAAGTCCCCAGGGCTAGCTCAACTACACCCAAGAGTATTGAAGGAACTAGCGGAAGTCATTTCGGAACCATTGGCAATCATCTTTGAGAGTTCTTGGAGAACGGGAGAAGTTCCAGCAGATTGGAGGAGGGCCAATGTGGTCCCAATCTTCAAGAAGGGAAAAAAGGATGACCCAAACAACTACCGTCCGGTCAGCCTCACGTCAATACCAGGCAAGATTCTGGAGAAGATTGTTAAGGAAGTGGTCTGCAAACACTTAGAAACAAATGCGGTCATTGCTAATAGTCAACATGGATTTATCAAAAACAAGTCATGCCAGACTAATCTGATCTCTTTTTTCGATAGAGTTACAAGCTGGGTAGATGCGGGGAATGCCGTGGATGTAGCGTACCTGGATTTCAGTAAGGCCTTCGACAAGGTCCCCCATGACCTTCTGGCAAGGAAACTAGTCCAATGTGGGCTAGGCAAAACTACGGTGAGGTGGATCTGTAATTGGTTAAATGGACGAACCCAGAGGGTGCTCACCAATGCTTCCTCTTCATCCTGGAAAGAAGTGACGAGCGGAGTGCCGCAGGGTTCCGTCCTGGGCCCGGTCCTGTTCAACATCTTTATTAATGACTTAGATGAAGGGCTAGAAGGCAGGATCATCAAGTTTGCAGACAACACCAAATTGGGAGGGAGCCAATACTCCAGAGGACAGGAGCAGGATTCAAAACAATCTTGACAGATTAGAGAGATGGGCCAAAACTAACAAAATGAAGTTCAACAGTGACAAATGCAAGATACTCCACTTTGGCAGAAAAAAATGAAATGCAAAGATACAGAATGGGGGACAATGCCTGGCTCGAGAGCAGTACGTGTGAAAAAGATCTTGGAGTCCTCATGGGCAACAAGTTAAACATGAGCCAACAATGTGATGTGGCGGCAAAAAAAGCCAATGGGATTTTGGCCTGCATCAATAGGAGCATAGTGTCTAGATCTAGGGAAGTAATGCTACCCCTCTATTCTTTGGTTAGACAACACCTGGAATATTGTGTCCAATTCTGGGCACCACAATTCAAGAGAGATATTGACAAGCTGGAATGTGTCCAGAGGAGGGCGACTAAAATGATAAAGAGTCTGGAGAACAAGCCCTATGAGGAGTGGCTTAAGGACCTGGGCATGTTTAACCTGAAGAAGAGAAGGCTGAGAGGAGATATGATAGCCATGTATAAATATGTGAGAGGAAGCCACAGGGAGGAGGGAGCAAGCTTGTTTTCTGCTTCCCTGGAGACTAGGACGCGGAACAATGGCTTCAAACTACAAGAGAGGAGATTCCATCTGAACATGAGGAAGAACTTCCTGACTGTGAGAGCCGTTCAGCAGTGGAACTCTCTGCCCCGGAGTGTGGTGGAGGCTCCTTCTTTGGGAGCTTTTAAACAGAGGCTGGATGGCCATCTGTCAGGGGTGATTTGAATGCAATATTCCTGCTTCTTGGCAGGGGGTTGGACTGGATGGCCCATGAGGTCTCTTCCAACTCTTTGATTCTATGATTCTATGATTTCAGGAACTTGGTGCAGCCAGCCAGAACTTGGTTGACTAAGCTCCCGGAATCTCCAGCTGGCAAGATTATAAAATGCATCATACAAAAATTAACTTTCAAGCTCTGCAGCTAACCCATCCTCCACAGACGGTGCTCCACATTGAACAAAATGACAAGAATATGCATTGAATATATTGAAATTATAATAAAAAGCCATTTTACCTGGAATAATTGTGTAGCTGACTGCTCGCTTCTGTAGGTAGTCGAAAAGTGGAGGAATAACCTCCTGTAAAAAAACAACATCTGGGCTGTATCTAAATGAAAAAGTGGAAATTATAATGGAAGGCAAAAAGCAACATACCATAATACTATAAGGCAACAAAGAAAAATACAATTAATTCCAATTAGCAAAGCTGTGCCAGGTTACAGAATGACTATAACTTAGTGTTTTAGAGTGGATGTCTTTTTCTCTTTTTAAAAACAACCAGTGTGATCACACACATGTACATTAATCAGTAGGCAATACTTCATGACTCACACCAGAACATCTGAACTGCACCATAGTGGCCATGCTACACATGCAAGGAGTACAAAGTCCTAAAGTCCACATAATAACTGATAAAGGCCCTGGAACCACCCAGATGGCAACATTATTTTCACCCTGGCTTGATTACTAGAAGGCTTTTATTTTGGTGTTTTGCCCAGGCAGCTTGCCATCCCTATCCAGGTACAAGTGAAATGAAGGAAAGCAAATATGCCACACTAATTTGAAGAGAATACACCTGCACTTCAAGTTCTTTCCTTCATCTCTCGATCTTCACTAGTGGATCTTCTAATGTTGCTGATTTTACGTCTACTCTCATGTGAAATAAAGCACCTGTATCCTTGATCTGAGAGATGTATGATTTTTACAGGACCAAAAGACCTCTTGGTTTTGTTTTTGTTTTATTTTTTGCTTCCAAAAGCCACATTAGTATAAAACTATTAGAAAGCTGATCCAAAAGCTCTGCAACCAAATTCTGGTGTATATTTAAACTATACTGGGACCTGCCCTCCAAAAGCATATTTCACCCCATGGCAGAACAATTAGCCAACAATGTTATCATTTAATAATAGTTAAGGTCTGAATGTAGGTGTTGCTTGCATTCTGTAGAAAATAATAATAATAATATAAAACTTTATTTGTATTCTGCCCTATCTCCCCCGGGGGCCTCAAATAAAACAACAAACAAAAAGGCAAACATTCAATGACTCAATAAAAATAAGTACAAATATAATAAATCAGAATAACCCCACATAAAAACAACTTAAACATAACAAAAAATAACTTAAAACATAATCTAGTGAAAATTATAACTAACATAGACCATGAACAGAAAACATCCAAATTAATATACAAAGGCATCACAAAGGTTCACAGGTGTGTGCAGTTGTAAAATAAAAGTATACTTTAGAAACACTTCAAGCCACCTAAAATATTTGAAAATATTGGGGCCTGTCCTTCTATCTTATTTTTCACTTGGTCAGGTATTGTTTAGTTTGGAAAAAAATCACAGTTATTTCAAGGAGGCGTAACACTCTCTAGTAGATGTCCATAGGATGACAGTTGTGAATACTTACAAAGCAATATAAGAACAGACTCCCCGTGCCCTTTCTGGAAGACTTTTCAAATCCAGGCCATCTATATTCCAGGTAATTAAAGAAAATGTGCTATCATCTTCTTGTGGGCTGCGACCAACTTTTTCTACAGTAGCAGGTACGCTACTATCAGATGATTCACCAGTAAGATCGACACTAGGCAGAACAGACACATGTTTAACTCAATTTCTTTTTTACTATTTACTCATATTTTAACAACATAGTGTTTAGGAAGGGGCACAACTGTGAAGTTTGTTTTGTCTTCATTCAATTTGGTCCTGATAGAGTAAAAGCTACATATGAAAGTCAAAACCAAGTCAACGCAAAACCTGGAAAGAAACCTTTTTACAGAGAGGAGAGGATATCATTCCAAAAGATACTAGTTGGTGAAAACCATGTTAGTTGGGAAGTTCTGGCAGATTGTCATTTTTCACATTAAATTTCCTAAGCTCTGATTTTATATATGTCATATATTGGTGGCAGCAACAGCACACCACCTATTTTAGCAGCACCATAGCAAATGCAAGTATTTCCAAAAAATGGTGAAAAAAATCTAAATTCGAAACATTTTTAGTCCCAACCATTTCACATAAGGGATATTCAACCCATTCACTCTATTTGAGCCATGGCCTTCTGCTGTAGCACCAAGCTGTACATGGTGAGTTTTAAAGAAAGAACATTATTATTATTACACTGGCGAACACACATCTTGGTGCCTCAAATGTCAGACCTGTTTCTGGGTCTATTTGGCTTCCTAATTGCAAAAATGACACTTCTTTTCCTTTATCAGCTCTAGTTATTGAGATATGGAACATATGCAATCTACCAGTCACCATCTGCTCACCCATAAAAAACATAATAATCATACTTAAGAAACTAGAGTTGAAGTGGTCTATGCAGTACAGTTTTCTGAATCAGCACCCCAAATAACCCCAGGAACAAATCTAAAAACCAAGACACCGATAATTTTTTGTTGGGCTGTGTTATTGTTGTTACTATTATTATTGTTTTCCACACTGTTCTTCAGACGTAAAGACCAACACTTTTTATATTAGTAACTTACAAGGTCTCTGTTACAGGAGGAGGCATCGTGTCCATGGCTGGTTCATCAAGTGGTGGCTCAAAATAAGAATTGAGAGCTCTCTAGAAAACAAAAGCAGGCAAATAGGTGGGTCACGACTGACTTCAAGTTGTTTAAAAACATCATGAATTGGAATACATTACTCAAAATGAAAAACAAAAAGCAAAGTAGGGGGAAAGCCACCCCCATTATTTTATTTATGTGCCACCTTTCTTTCTGAGTGATACCCAAGATGGCTTCCAATCACAATAAATTTACAACAGAAATATTCCACTAGTGGGTGAAAATGTATGAAATAGCTGAAATGGACAAACCGATACACTGCTGATGAAAGAGAAACCCTTGGTTAATTTTAAGAAGCTTATTATTTTCATGAAGGCAAGATGGGACATACTGCAACTGATCCACGATGGCAAGATCTCCAAACAATGCTTAAGGATCATCTACTCATGGAACACCCAGAAAATGTTAAGGAATATTGGAATAAACTGAAGACGTCTATCATTACTGCCTGTGAACAAACAATTGGACACCAAACAAGGAAACATCAAGACTGCTTAGATGAGAATGCTAATGAGATCCAACATATGAAAAGGAAAGTCTTCCAAATATGGCAAAAAGGCATCAACTGTGCTGCTAATAAAAAGGTTAATGCTAATGCAGGCATGGGCAAACTTCAGCCCTCTGGGTGTTCTGGACTTCAACTCCCACAATTCCTGTGTTTGTGGGAGTTCAAGTCCAAAATGCCTGGAGGGCCGAAGTTTGCCCATACCTGTGCTAATGCAAAAGCTAAGGTCAAAGGAAGGACGAGAGAACTCAGTAACATCTGGTAGACAAAAAGGGCTCAATAAATACGACACCTTGCAGATGTCTACGGGGACTCTTTAAAGCCACAAAGGTAATTTATGGCCCAACAAATCATTTAATACATCCTTTATGTTCATCGGATGGAAACAAACTTCTAAAGAACAAAAACTCAATTGAAAAGAGCACTACCACAACCTCATTCAACGCAGCTCCAACGTGGCTGAAGAGTTCCTCTTGCAAATGCCACAACAAACCAGGTGTGAGCTTGGTGCCTAGTTTGGAAGAAGTCAGCAAAGCCATCAGCCAACTAAAAAGTAACAAAACCAGTGGACCTGATGGGATCCCTGTTGAAAATTTTAAAGGCAGGCCTGTGCTGACACAATTCCACCTCACTGAAAAAGCATGGGAGACCGAGAAAATCCCAGGAGACTGTGAGCACGCCATTATCACCACCCTTTTCAATATGGGAGAAAGAACAGACTGTGGAAATCCTTTGAACCTCTGCCGGAAAAATCCCAGCAAGAATCCTCACAAACGGACTTCTACTAATGATGTTTACTTATAATGTAATTTTAAATTATGAATTATAAGCTCTGGTTGCGGGAGACGAAGTCATATTACCCCTCCCTGTGAAGGACTGAAGTGAGTGGTGTCATGTGTAATATGTAATATGAAGTGTTTATGTATGTAGGTTCTCCTTTATGTTGGTAAATGTATACAGTGAACAGTGAAGAGAGAGGGGGCCAGAGTTGACGACAGTTCCATATTGTCTCCTGTGCTATACTAATAATATAATATATTCTATATACATATAATATTTATAATATTATAATGTAACACAATATATAATACTAATAATAATACAATATTATAATTGAATATATTACATGTAATATTACTAATAATATTGCAATATAATGGTGTAGTAAGTAAAGATTTTTCCCTGACATTAAGTCCAGTTGTGTCTGACTCTGGGGGGTGGTGCTCATCTCCACTTCTAAGCTGAAGAGCCGGCATTGTCCATAGACACCTCCAAGGTCATGTGGCCGGCATGACTGAATGGAGCGCTGTTACCTTGCTGCCGGAGCGGTACCTATTGATCTCTTCATATTTGCATGTTTTTGAACTGCTAGGTTGGCAGAAGCTGGGGCTGACAGCGGAAGCTCACGCCGCTCCCCAGATTTGAACCTGTGACCTATCAGTCAACAAACTCAGCAGCTCAGTGCTTTAACCCACTGCGCCACTGGGAGAGCCTAATGGTATAGTACAATACAGTAATATATAATACTGATATCGTACTATGCTAATAATTTAATATATTATATACACACTAGCCGTCCCCTGCCACACGTTGTGTGGCCCAGTCTGTATATATGCATTTTGTGTGTGTATATATTCGTCTATGTGTGTGTATATATATATATATATGTGTGTGTATGTGTATATATGTGGTTTTGTGCATGTGTTATAATGTATGTTTTGTTTTTCGGCTTTTTAAGTCTCCTTTGCTGTGTTTTCCAGTGTTTTAATGAGTGGTCATTCGTTGGCATGAGAAGTGTCTCATTTTTTGGTGTCAATCTGTCCAGTGGTTTTTCAGTTATGTTAATCCCACAAACAAACATTACATTTTTATTTATATAGATATATCTTGTAAGCCGCTCTGAGTCCCCTTCAGGGTGAGAAGGGCGGCACATAAATGTTGTAAATAAATAAATAAACAATAGTCACATTTTTGGGCTTTCCTTTTGTAAATTTGATTAACAATGAGTATGGGCCCACAGCCTTTCATTTACTTGCATGTCCCAGTCATTCTCTGCCAAATAGCACTGGGCAACAGCTACGTCTGTGCCGCTGACGTTGGCAAATTCCATGCAAAGGCGCTTCCGGGTCTCCTCCAGTTTTTCCCGCTGCTTCTCTTCCTCAGAGGGTTGCAGCAGTTCCGGCTCCAGCACTTGCGCCATACTGTCCGCCTCCATCTTGGCCGGAGAAGCAAGCGGGCGCGCTGGCGCCGCGCATGCGCAGTGGGTCCCTACCCTCCCAGAAGCCACGCCCCGTTAACGGGGCGTGGCTTCTGGGAGGGTAGGGACCCACTGCGCATGCGCGGCGCCAGCGCGCGCCCGCTTGCTTCTCCGGTGCTTTTTCGCTGCCATGAATCGCCTCACGCTCCAGTCCCTTCGCGAAGTGATCAAGGCCGTCACGGAGACGTCGGGTTTTGATCGAGTGCTAAACAAGGTAGCCATATTGTGTGTGTGTGTGAAAGAGAGAGAGAGTGTGAGAGAATCCTGAGGTGAAATCCTGACCTTTCCCCAACTGAAATGACATCCCAAACAGAGCTTGGCCTTTATCAAACAAAAACCTGAGACGAAATCTAGCTTTTCCCCTCAGAAGCCTGAGGCATGACAAAGGTTGATATTGGAGCCTGACCTCATTGTTTTGATTGACCTCTTAAGGTGACCTTGGTCAGGACACCAAAGTGAGATCTTGCCCATTTGAGCTGTGAAAAGCATTGGCTGGCTTTTGAGAGGGACATCACATTAGGAAGAACTTCCTGACTGTGGGAGCTGTTCAGCAGTGGAACTCTCTGCCTTGGAGACTCCCCTGACGGTGAGAGCTGTTCCTGACTGTGAGAACTTCCTGACTGAGAGCTGTTCAGCAGTGGAACTCTCTGCCCCGGAGTCTCTCCTGACTGTGAGAACTTCCTGACGGTGAGAGCTGTTCAGTAGTGAAACTATCTGCCCCAGAGTCTCTCCTGACTGTGAGAGCTGTTCAGCAGTGGAACTCTCTGCCCCAGAGTCTCTCCTGACTGTGAGAACTTCCTGACTGTGAGAGCTGTTCAGCAGTGGAACACTCTGCCTCGGAGACTCTCCTGACTGTGAGAGCTGTTCCTGACTGTGAGAACTTCCAGACTGTGAGAGCTGTTCAGTAGTGGAACTCTCTGCCCCAAAGTCTCTCCTGACTGAGAACTGTTCCTGACTGTGAGAGCTGTTCAGCAGTGGAACTCTGCCCCAGAGTCTCTCTTGACTGTGAGAGCTGTTCCTGACTGTGAGAGCTGTTCAGCAGTGGAACTCTCTTCCCCAGAGTCTCCTGACTTTCAGAACTTCCTGACTGTGAGAGCTGTTCAGCAGTGGAACTCTCTGCCCCAGAGTCTCTCATTTATTTATTGATTTATTGATTTATTAGCTGCATTTCTGTATTGTGTTTCTCACCCCGGGGGCGGGGCAGGGGACTCAAAGTGATTTACAATGTAATAAATGGCAAATTCAATGCCTCACATATATATAAAAATATCACATATCTAAATCAGTAACATATAACTGTAGATAAAAACCATTAAAACTGTAAAAAGTCAAACATAGACATAAGCATGAAACGTATTATTGCTGCAATTAACAATTTAGACCCCTTCTCTTCCCCCCCCCACCCACCCCCCACCCCCCCACTCTCTCTTCATAATGTTTCAGGCCTTCTTTTTATACGCTCCCTGCTCCCCCCACACCAGACACAAAGTTATTTAGGTACAGATTGAATACAAAATGGGGAGGGTAAAAAAAGGAGGCTTTTAAGCAGAGGCTGGATGGCCATCAAAAGAACAATACCATATTTAAAATGAAGAAACATAAACTTACCAGTATTTCACTGGGAAATATGGGTCTGCTTTTGGCTGATAGTCAAGTGGTAGGATTGTTGTTGTTGTTGCTGTGTGCCTTCAAGTCATTTCAGACTTAGGGCACCACCAGCAGCAATAAGATCTACCAACCAAAAAGTTGCCAGTTCGAAGCCTGGGTTGGGGTGAGCACCCGACTGTCAGTCCAGCTCACTGTTTACCTAAGCAGTTCAAAAGCAGCTTAGAGCTATAAGTAGAGAAATTATGTACAGGAGAGTCTTGCTTATCCAGCCTTTGCTCATCCAACGTTCTGTATTATCCAATGCAGTCTGCCTCCCGCCTGGATCTACAGCTGTTTCAATACATTGTGATGTTTTGGTGCTAAATTCATAAATACATTAATTACTACATAATGTTACCATGTATTGAACTGCTTTTTCTGTCAATTTGTTGTAAAACATGATGTTTTGGTGCTTAATTTGTACAATCATTACGTAATTTGACATTTAATAGGCTTTTCCTTATTCCTTCCTTATTATCCAACATTTTTGCTTATCCAGCGTTCTGCCAGCCCGTGTATGTTAGATAGGTGAGAGACTACTGTACCACTAAAAACCAGGGAAGGTATATTACAACACTATAAAAGAAAAGAAAAGAAAACAGAAAGTGCCAGTGACCAAAAGGAAGGAGAAAGCCCTGATGGCTCTTCGTCGTAGAAGATGGAGTGACAGCATTCCCCTGTGGCTGGATTTGAGCACAACCTCCAAAGGCGCCGAAAGCTGGATGTCGACACAACATACCTCCTTTCTGACTGTTCTGTCCTGTCTGTCCAAATGGCAGTGAATGTTTGTTGTGTATGTGTACTGTGATCCACTCTGAATCCCCTTTGGGAGAAAGGACAGAATATAAAATAAGTATTATTATTATTATTATTATTATTATTATTATCATTATTATTATTATCTCAAGTTTAGGGCAGAGGCTGGGGAAATGACCTTGGAAGGCTGTATCCACTCTATGGTCCCCTGGTCTCAGCATTAATAAACAACCAACACATATTAATTTAAGAAGTCTCTCAGGGGGCCACAGCATTTCATTGCTTTAGCACTTCTATTCCACTTGAACTGCGAAGGCTGCATCCTTTGTGGGATGTTGTGATTTGCAGTTTCGTCTGTTCATGGCTAGGAATACTAAACTTCTTAAAGGGAAATGAATCCAAAAACAGTCCAACAGGATGTGCAGTTTGATAGAAGCAGCAGTTGGAAAAGTAGAAAATCAGTAGCAAAGAAATCTGGAATAATATCCTGGAATAAGATGTGGCTGACTAGCCTACTAAGCAGAGTCCTCCATATGATACCATTTTGTCAAAATCTTGTTTGTTGTTCATGTTTCCTGCATTGGGGGACTGCTTTCCCACTTTCCCCCCTTGTTATTTTCCCAGGAGCCTGTTGACAGTCAGAGTACCCATTTTTGTGCAGAATCACAAAATTTACTTAATTGAACTATAACTCCCAGAATTCTCAAGCCAATGTTTTAAATGTTGTCCTAAAAATCATATGTAACTGGGTAAAACAAACAAGCATTATATTTCAGTTTTATGGCCTGTAAATGGTTTACTGGAACTTAACAAAGTTGATTTTTTTTTTCTTTTCCTCCTTGTTCCCAGATGACAGTTCTTTCTGCTGACTCTGGAAAAGTAGTCTGTGAAATGGAGGTAGCAAAAGAGCACACAAACCGGGGAGAAACTCTGCACGGAGGGCTGACGGCAACACTTGTTGATGTAGTGTCAACAGCTGCTTTACTGCACAGTGAACGAGGAGCACCTGGAGTCAGTGTGGACATGAATATTACGTAGGTATCAAAAGATATGGGAGCTGTGCCATTTTTGATCCCACTTATATGTAGAGTCTAGGGATGCATTTACACTAGATTCAATGCAGTTGGACACTACTTTTAACTGCATTGACTCAATTCTAAGGGGTCATGGGAGTTGTAGTTTTGGTGAGTGCTAAAGAATTTGCAAAACTTCATCTTCATAGCATTACACCATGTTCCTGGTTTGAAAGTGTTATTCTTATTTAATTGTGTGGTATCTACTTTGAAAGTAGTCGTTATACTCCAGAAACTTTGTTTTTGTGGCTGTCACAAACTTTGTTCAATTGGTTGAGACTCTGAGATATTCATTGAAAAACTATAAAAAAATTGCTGCAGAGGATGTCCAATAAACTTTTCCCATGTTTTTATGACAGAACCAATTAGAAAATTATATTTATAACTCAGGAACAAAAATTGTGTTACAAAGTGTTATGGCACAGTGGTTAAAGTGGTGTCAAACTGCATTAGTTATACAGTATATAGATGCACCCTAGGTTGTGGTACTTTATTCTTCAACACATTTGGAAAGACTTCCTTTATGGCAGGATGAGCAGCTTGTAAGGAGTACGAGCCAGTCTCCTTCCTCAGGGGTTACATTCGTCTCTTGGTGGTCCTTTGAAAGTAATGTTACTTCTGGCTTTGTTTGTGCCAGGCAAATTGTTGAGTGGGAAGTTTTTGGCAGAAAAGATATGCAAACAGCCACGTTTGTCAGTGGTTTGGAAGGTTTTCTCATGATTCTCAAGCAAAAGGAACATTCCAAAATACTCTATTGATGCTCTATATCCACAGTTGTTGCTTCTACGTATTCAACAATCCATGGCTTGAAAACTCTCCCCCTCACCCATCCAAAAAACAATCCCTTATTTTGCCATTTTATAGAAGGGACTCGGTTTTATATTGCACTGTGCAGTGGGACTTAAGCATCCACCAGTTTTAATATCCATGGGAGGGGTGGGGAGGATGTGTCCTGAACCCAAACCCAAAGAAGGAGCCTCCACCACAGTCTGGGGCAGAGAGTTCCACTGGTGAGCAGCACTCACAGTCAGGAAGTTCTTCCTAATGTTCAGATGGAATCTCCTTTCTTGTAGTTTGAAGCCATTGTTCTGCGTCCTAGTCTCCAAGGCAGCAGAAAACAAGCTTGCTCCCTCCTCCCTATGATATCCTCTCATATATTTATACATGGCTATCATGTCTGCTCTCAGCCTTCTCTTCCTCGGGCTTAACATGCCCAGCTCTTTAAGCCACTCCTCATAGGGCTTGTTCCCCAGACCCTTGATCATTTTAGTCACCTTCCTCTGGACACATTCCAGCTTGTCAACACAGTATTCCAGATGTGGTCTAACCAAGACAGAATAGAAGGGTAGTATGACTTCCCCAGATCTAGACACTATACTCCTATTGGTGCAGGCCAAAATCCCATTGACTTTTTTTTGCTGCCACATCACATTGTTGGCTCATGTTTAACTTGAAGACGTCAAGATCTTTTTCACATGTACTGCTCTCTAGCCATGCGTTCCCCATTCTGTATCTTTGCATTTCATTTTTTCTGCCTAAGTGGAGTATCTTGCATTTGTCACAGTTGAACTTCATTTTGTTAGTTTTGGCCCATCTCTCTAATCTGTCAAGATCATTATAGATGGTCCTTTTGTCTTGCATTAGCCTCCCAACATCCCTGTGAAATAAGTTGTGTATAACTGGGGCAGGGCCATCCAGTGAGCCTTTCTTGTCAAAATGGGACTTTGAACTCCACAGTTTTTCCAACACTTTATGCCAGGAATGAGCAATGTATGCTGCAACTTCCATGGTCTCTTAGCATTGAGAGTGCTCATTTGGCTAAGTGAGATTTGGAGGGTCACATGTTCCCTATCTTTGCTTTAGTCACAAATACACAGTGCAACTTTATGTCTGCTGCATATGCAACATCAGCTGTGGATTTCGCTGCATTATTTTGGACTAGTAATTGTCTCAGCCTTACCTACCTCATAGGGTTGATAGGATAAAACAAAATGAGAAACCATGGGCAGTGAAAAAAATGGTTGTAAATCTAAGTCTTGTTCCCTTTCTTTCTTGTCCCATTCAAGCTATGTGTCCGCAGCTAAAATTGGAGATGAAATCCTGATCACTGCTGAGATCCTGAAGCAAGGAAAAAGGCTGGCTTTTACCACTGTGGATTTAACAAACAAAGCCACGGGAAAATTAATAGCCCAAGGAAGGCATACCAAATACCTAGGATCCTGATTGGACTAAGGGAGCACCCAATTAAAAGCTTAGAGCTTTGAGAAAGGAGAACAAAGTAACTTTACAACAGTACTAAAGTGTGAAATATGAATGTTCACTATGTACGTCTTGTTTACTGTTCATCTACAGTAAGTTGGTGGGCTAAATTCAGATTTCCTCTTCTTTATGCAACTTTGGTGATGGACTATCTTCAGATCTATTCTCTCGGGGAGTGGAATATAAGTGCAGGTGATAATTTGTCCTCATGGTGGAGAGGGAATGGCAGTGTGTTGTAGTCAAGATTAGCCAGATTCCTACCCAGTTGGAGAGAAGCATTCACAGCTATCACCAAAGCATGCATTCAATGCTAAGCACTTACTAGGGTAGATAAGCCACCAGTAAAAGCACAGGGTTTCAACCACAATGGCAAAAACCACACAAAACCATTACATGAAGAAGAATGCGGAATATTCTTCGGGGATTTCTACTGTATCTTCTTCCCTTCAACAAATGGAGACTTTATCTTTACCTTAAATCCAAACTGGGATGGTTGCAGGAGTCCAAGGTGACTTCCCTATTGCTCTATTCAGAAGACATTATTGGAACTATGTGGATGTTTTGAGTACTTTGACTCCAGTATTGGATGAATGTCACATCAATTAAACACTAATTATTTCATCAATTATCTGCTAAGTTATTGATTCCTATTCATTAATTTTGAAGCATAAAGAGGTAATAGACATTGGAATTATTGAATCTATCCTGTGGGTCTTTTGTTAAAGAATGATGAGTGTCTTGAGAATTTGCTATCTGTTATGAAAATTTGGTCTTGTAAAATTTCCTTAACTGTACTAGTTCCTCTTCAGAACTGATTTCAAAGAATACTCAGTGAGTAAAATGCCATACCTCCTTGGCTGGAATTCATATTTCTTAATTTCCTAACATCATTTATCAGTTTTAGTCCACTATGATTTAGTGAAAGTCTCCAAGATTAGAGCACCACAAATAATAGGATATTTAGGAACAATGTTCAATATGGTGGTGTATTTGATAAGGTGTCAATGGTTCATAGTACCTTCTAGAGCAGTCATATTTATTATCGTTATCTTTATTTATAGTCTGTTTTTCCCCATAAATGGGGACTCGAATCATCTTACATATTGAAAAGATTACAATTAAAAGCATACTAAAAGTCACATTAAAACTGAATTAAACTAAGAACCATATTAAAAACATACTCTAAAAAGAGTTTAAAAACAAACAATCCAATCAAAACAACAGAGCACTTACAATTCCTTTTCACTTCTTAAAGCTTGTCTGAATTATTTTTGTCTGTTGACTTTTTTACTTTTGGAAAAATTTTCGAGAGCTTCTGTTGAACAGATACAATTTGAATATGTGTTTCTTGGCATTGACTTCTTAGCATGTGCATTTCTGTGAATATATGCATTTCATCTCCACCGCCCAAGCATCATGCAACACTTCTTGGTGTTATTGATCACCAGTTCATGTGTCTGACTCTTGGCAGTAGTCCCTATCTTTTCTTAGATCCTGTGATTTTATTCGTGTTTTTTCCATCCTAGTCCTGTTTTATTTATTTATTTATTTACGACATTTATATGCCGCACTTCTCACCCGAAGGGGACTCAGAGTGGCTTCCAAGGTATATATATATACAATGTATTATAGTACAATATCAGTTTTAAATATTGCTATATTGTACTATACCAATTATATTGTAATATTATTAGTAATATTACATGTAATATAAATAATCATATTATATTGCATTACATTATATTATAAATATTATATGTATATACAATATATTATATTGTTTTGTTGTTGTTATTATTATTATTATTATTCTCTCTCTCTCTCTCTCTCTTTTTGAAACGGTGATTCCCAACATTTTTTTTGACCAGAGACCACTCTCCCAACATTAGTACCAAAAAGGTTTTTGCTCAATTTTAGATTTGGTTTGTTTATTTGGGGTGCTGATTCAGAAAATTGCATTGGACAGACCACATCAGTTCTAGTTTCTGATACAGAACATATGCCATCCAGTAGTCACCATCTGCTCGCCCACAGAAAACCGTATTTACTAATCTAGAGCCAATGTGGTCTTTCGTGGGTAGTCAGCCTCCCCAACATCCCTGTTGCCTTGGCACTGTGAGAGGGTTTCGCAAGACCAGTCACTCTCATTGCCATATGGTTTCGAGGCAACGGTGTAGTAATGGTGACCTGCTGACCATATTTTTTGTTCTTGTGAACCACAAGTTAGGAACCACTGCTCTAAAAATAAGATGTATCTGCACGCACACAGTGAATAAACTAGTGACAGCCACACAAATTATGATGGGCTTTAGCAGCACCTTCAATTCTGGCATCCTGTGAGTCTTTTAATACCTGAAGAATATTTTGCATTAATGAAGACTCAGTTTCCTCTATAGTCCTTTTATTTAATTTCCTTGGGTTTTCTAATATATTTTGCATTGTGTTCTCTGAAACATCTGGTTCATGTTTGGTGCTTTGTGAACTGTCTTCCTGCTGGCCAGCAAAACCACTTGACAGTCAACACACTCCCTCCCCCGTCACTGTAATTCATTAACTAGGACACATTCATAATTTGGATGTTTATCACTCAGGGAATGCCTGTTTTGTATTGCACGGTCAGGAGTATCTGGTTTTTCTGTGATGCTTTGTGAAGTGTCTTCCTGTATCGTCTTTTCATTTACTTTCCTTAGATTTTGTAACATCTTTTGCATCACATGGTCTTGTATGGTGCTTTGTGAACTGTCTTCCTGTGTCCTTAGTGTTTCTTGACCAATTTTTTCAGAAGCAGGGGCTGACTTGTAGTTTTTGATTCAAAAGTGAACTCTTTACAATTTTAGAAGGAGGTTCTGTTTCTAAATCAAGTAACTCTTAATGAGAACCTTGAGGCAGCTGCAGTCCCATGGCAGGGTGGCAACGGGCAGCTGCTCCTCATCACCACTTCTGGCTCTACTTAGGATCCGGCTTCCTCCCACTGTGCACATTTCCTGAGATGAGTAGTATGCTGCCCAAGAATGATGGGATCTGCACTTCTTTGACCTGCAGCATGCCAGAATAATAACCACTCTTATTGCAGCAATTGGCTCCTAAAGTGCTTGAAACTTGCCAGCACTTTTAGTTTGCTGTAACTTCTAGGACTTGTTTCTCCCAATCCGTGCATTGCATGTTTGTCCACAGCCCATTTTTGGAGGAACTGCACAACCCCATAAGTTCAAAAACTCACAAGTGGGGTTTCCAATGAAGTACTTCCACAAGTTCACAAGCATAGCCCCTTCAATCACTTAAAATATTTACAAGCCTTTCTTTGTTTTGCATTTTTTAGCAAGGGAGAGGGCTACTTCTCATTGCCAAACCTGCACAAGTTGCTGGTTTATACCACTTGCTTATGTGCAAAATAAATGATTAAAATTAATTTTTTAAAGGAAATATCCATTTTGCAATTTGAAGCTTTCCCCTGCTTTGTGTATTCTGCAAGAGGGTTGTTTTGCAGTCTTAAAACAGCTCAGGAAGCAGTTCAATTCCAACACACTGGCTTTTAAAAGTACAGAAACGCCTACCTCACAGTCTCCAGACAGTGTGTAGGAGCCAGGTACTTTACAGCTCTTATTTTTGTGGCCCTGAGTGTGAGGTCCAATATATTTATTATATACTGACAACTACGGTACCCTATATAATAAATGTTCATTTTTTTTGTTCAACAATAAATGTGAATTCTTCTTTATGGGAAAATAAGACATTCCCTGAAAATAAGACCTAGCGCATATTTGCGAGCAAAAATTAATATAAGACTGTCTTATTTTCAGGGAAACATTATCAGGAAAAGGTGTCACCTTTCAGCCACCCTTGTGGACAATTTTGGCATATTTTAAAATTCCAGATAAAGGATGCCCAGACTGTATTACCATGCAAACCATTATTTCAACCTATTAGGTGCATTAGTTGCTTTGTTGGATGTTAAATTAAGGTGTGAAAAGGAAAGAGGAAATCAAAGAGATCACTGAGTTCTAAACAGTAATCTTAAATGTTTCTATCAAGTGCCAAAAAGTTGAATATGTGGAAGGTACAAAGCCTTGAGGATCTCTAGTACCTTAACTCGCACTCTTAAAAACATGTATTCGACATTCAGGTTTTTAAATTGCTGTGTTCTATACAATAAAGCAACAGAAACTATTTTACTTGTGTAGACTATCTGTTTACAGTTAAGTAAAATAAAACTGAATTACACGGAACATTTTCCAAGACTGTGTTAAAATATGCTGCAAACTCAGGGATGTTTGATATAGAATCAGAACACATCATTGTTCAACTAATTTATTTCCTTTTTTCCAATTCCAAACAAAAGCTAAATACAAATTTTGAACAGATAAGCACTAGATTTACCCAAAGGGAGTAGGCTTATACAGATTTACTTCAGTAAAATTACTCAACCCTTAAGCAAAGCATTCTTTGCCAAAACTATACAGTAGTCTTCCTTATGTTCATTGCACAATCTTAAACAAAATATGTTCTGTCAAACCAACTTTGACACTCCAAACAATATTTTACAATTAAATCCACAACTGCTTTAGAATATCTTAAGTCACCCTCCCTGCCCCACCCCCATTCCCAAAAAGAACTTCAGAGGGTTTTCTGTAAGAAATGTTTTGGAAACCAGTATTTCCTACGTAGTTCACCAGCAAGGAGTCAACTCTCAGGAAAAAAAATAATCCTCTGCCAATATAGTTTCTGCAGCCCCTATTTTAAATTTAGCTGCGTCAGGCTACTTCAGACTCCAGGTCTGTAAAAATGTATTCAACTCAACAGAACCATCTATATTTAGTTATACAGCAAACTGGGGAAAGAGATCCAAAAATGAGAATGCCAATAAACTTAAAACATGGCCAAGCAAAATAAGAGAGGCAAATAGTGCCTACAACAAATGAGATGCTTTTATTCCTTGAGATTTCTTTCCCATGGTTAGCCAGCTACTGTAACAAGCCATAAACTTTCATCAGAATGAATCTGACACAGCTGATACAATCATGTTAACGGCAAAGCTTATAAGGCTTTTACACCATTACATTCACTTCTCACCCTATGAATACTGATATTGGGGGACATGACCAGCACAAATGGGAACACCACCAAAAATGATCACTTTGTGCTCTCAGATACATTTCTTTCAGTGTATTACAGTCCATTCATTTCACATTTTGGTAGGATGCTCATACAATGTAGAAATATGCAGAGCATTCTCTTTCACAAGGTCCATGCAGAAAACATCTAAAAAAAATTTAAAGTTCTGAGATACAAATGATAAAAAAAAATCCAGGATGATCAAGTTCCACGATGGATAGTGTTCTGAACATGTGTCCATTTTCTTCAACTCCGAAAGAATAAATGGCGAGAAAAGTGAAAAAACACACTCCTGCATTCTGTGATCTTCCCCATTTTGCTGGCCAGTGCCCTACTCTGGCATGTAAGGGCGGAGGTGTTCCTCTATCGTACCAACCGCCCAGTGGGTGAGCTGCTCCTGTGGCAGATACAAGCAGATGCTGCATAACTTGAAGATTGTAGCTTTGTTTTTTGGAGTCTGGAAAGAGAAATGTCAGAAATAATGTTTATGAACAGCCCTTCCTGGAAAAACAAAGGAAACATTCTCTCTGCTTGACATTCCACTATATACAGACCAAACAACCAGTGCAACAGAAAAGCACGGTGAAAAAAATGCAAGAAATGTGGTGCCTGCTCAGACCAGAATTTTGTATTTTTCCTGAGGGCATGTATTACATTGTATTTCACAACAACTGGGTGTAAACTGTTGGAATGGGAAGCATGGTGCATACAGACAAAGTTCAATTATATAGCATAAAAGAAACATGTGAATGTTTCATTGTCTTCAGAAAAGAAACCGACTTGGTGCATAGCAATACATCCCGGTGTTGACTTCTACAGATATTGCACATTACGCCATTAAAAGAAAACCTGAGGATCTAAACAGCTTCTGTATTCTGTCTTGAAAGTTTTATCTGGCATGTAAGTTATGACAACTTTTCACTTTAAAAAATGAGGCAAAGTATAGCCACAGCAGTTATGTCTTCATTTACCTGCAAGTGCTGTCTGTCAATGAAGAGAAACACTGACTGGTTAGGGTTGTTGATAACAATTCCAGTCTTGTCCTTTCGGCTCAGTACATGCAGAAACTGTTTTTCATAGTCACCATGATGAAATTCAAACCTGGCCTACAGGGAAAAAAATATCAGACACTAAATAAAAATGTATTGGAAACACTAATCCAAAACTATTTTCTTTTAAGTCACACAAAAACGTTCAAGTACAATAAGGATGGGCAAACTTCATTCTTGCAAGAACTCTTTTAAAAAGCTGTAACCCCAAATCCATTACTGAGATCCAGGCATACATGCACTCTGAATTCAGGAAATGAGTACCTGAACTAAGTGGAGCCTACAATTCTTCCACCACAAAAACACTTCTGGTTACTTCCCCATCCTTGCCCCCATACCAGCATTGTAATTTAAGTTACTTGTTACTGATTTTGCTAAACCACTTTTGATCAAAGTTCCATTAGCGCTTAAACAAATCATACAAAAATCTATCAGTAGATCCAGCTCAACTTTTTGTAGTAGTAAGACATCCATCATTTCCCACTACTAAAGGAAAACTGTAAGAATGTTATTTCAAAATATTACACATTTTGTGCCAATTATATACAAAAGTAGGATACTCTACTGGCCCAAGACCCGATAAAAGCAACACTAATGACTGATCAAACATAAACTGGCCTTGAAATAGCTGCTTACTGCTTAATAGATTAAACTTAAAACACCTTGTACTCAAACATCAAAGTTTTAACATGTTTGCACACTAACAAGTTTATTTCAGGGGCCACAGAAGAAAAGGGCAATTTTGTTTAAGGTTGCTAACAATTTTTTTGGATTTACTTGCACACTACTTGGAAACATTCACTATACCTGAACCGGCCTAAAGGGCTCATCATCCGATCCCTTCCACCTAGAAAATAGAAGACAGACTATCTTCTCAATATCATTCCGAGGCCAAAGAATGAAGTCCATTTCCTGTGTACAGCCAATCACATCCTATAAAGGAAGTAAAAAAACCAGTGTTCAACAGTGTAGTATGGTAACTTGTTTATACAGGTTGCTGGAAAACTATTGACTATATTCACCAGTGTAACATTCTTTTTACATCACTAACACTAGCACTTCCCCTATTCATTTGATCTTATTGTCAAGATTCATTCTGAATAGACTACTGCAACATGATCTACATGGGATCACCTTTGAAGACTGTTTGGAAGCTGAAGTGGTGTACAGGGACCATACAACTCCCCTGTTACGTCAGCTCTACTGGGTGCTAGTCTGCTACCAAGCACAATTCAAAGTGCTGGCTTTAGCCTATAAAACCCTAAACGGTTCCAGCCCAGTTTATCGGTCCAGACGTATGTCCCTCTGTGAACCATCACGGATGTTAAGATCTTCTGATGAGGCCCTGCTCTCAGTCCCACCTTCTTCGCAAGCGCGTTTGGTGGGGACGAGAGACAGAGCCTTCTCAGTTGTGGGACCCTCAGCTGTGGAACTTTCTCCCCAGTAATATTAGATAGTCCCCTCCCTCCTGGTCTTCAGAAAGTGAAAACAAGGCTTTGGGACCAAACCTTCAGATAATACTTGTAGTGCAATAAATGGATACAGAATATGTGCAATGACTACTGGAATGGCCCCAGATTATGATTGTGGATGGCTTGGTTTTAACAGCTGATGTAATGTTTTAAATGTTTTAATGTGTGGTTTTAATTCAAATGTTTATGTTAATTGTATGTTTTATGGCATTGCCTATATGTAAAGCTGCCTTGAGTCCCCCTCCGGGTTGAGAAGGACAAGGTATAAATATGTAAATACCTAATAATAAATCTACATTTCTATTATGAACATTCTATTATTAAATTTTCAGAATGGTAGCACACTATGTTAAAAGGACAATCTATTGTCCTTCAGATGTTTTGCATTGCCTTTCAACATCATTCCAGTCAATCAGCTGGGTTAAATATGGCTGATTGATCTATACATTTGATCAAGGAGCACAACCAGAATCAAATATTTAACAAAACACTTGAAAATGGAAGAAATGAAAGATTTTACCCTGCGCATAGACTGATAACGGGGTGCATGCAGCTGTACTACATCCTTTTGTAGAAGCTCTATGGAACTTTCCAAGGAATAGCTGGAATCCCGCACACCTTTCAGGATATTTTCTTCATAATTATTGGTCATTACTGGTATCACTTCAGACACTTCAAAGAGCGCTGACTTTTTTCTCTAATCAAAGAAGACAGACAAAATTATCTCAAACAATTAGAACATATATATTATAATTATATATTTTTATTACATGTAATATTACTAATAATATTACAATATAGTGGTATAGTACAATATCGTAATATTTAATACTTATATTGTACCATGATAATAATATAATATATTGTATGTCTATATATCTTGTAAGCCACTCTGAATCCCCTTTGGGGTGAGAAGGGCGGCATATAAATGTCGTAAATAAAATAAATAAACATAGCATCTTATCCATCCATAATCCATTTGCAGTTACAATACTTTTAACAGTTAAGGAACTTCAAACACAAAAACTGGAGAATGCAAAACAGTCAAAGAGATAGTGTGAATGGGCAATGCCCATTCTTCAAGTTCAGTACTACTAGCACTGCTAGCACCAATGCAAGATGCATTAAGCCGAATCTCTCACAATCAATGTATGTTAAAATACCCATTTTGGGCATTCCCCAAGTTTATGTCCACCAATTGTGTCCTAATAAAAGATTTCCACCTTTAAAAAATATTAAGGTTTAATATAGCATCTATTACAAAACCATCTATGAACAAAATAACACAAAGTGATTTTATCATGAAATTTCATTAAATAAGAACTTGGTAGTCATTACTAACAAAAGTTGCTACAAAAGCTACACTCAGACTCACAAAAAATCTCAAGTCTAAGCTTAACATAAAAGCTACTAATTGGTTTTTGTTAGTATAATCCAGACTTGGTCTAAAATCAGTTTGGGGACTATTAATAGTAATAACTTTGAAGTCACATAACACACAAGTCTTTAACAATCAGAACTGCGATTTACCTTGTCTTTGAATACAAAGGCAATATACATCTTGAAATCAAACTGGTCAGCTAGAGATTCTTTTTTCTTTTTAAGCTGAGCACGAAGTCTGTTCAGAGCTTGTTTCTTCCGGGAGTTTGGGTCCCCCATTTTGTAATACAGGTGGTACTAAAGCCTTTGGAAACCTGTCACTAAGCTATGGGCCCTTTTTTCATAAGACTCGAGTACAACAGAAACAAGTCATTTTATTCCTGCTCAAACGGCTGAATCAATAAAACTCAGGCGCAACCCAAAAATGCACCTCTGGCATTTGTTCTACGAGACTGTCTTATTAGAGGGGTCATAAAACAAAATAAGGAGTCGCCCAACCATCGTTGGGACAAAATGCTTGTGCAGTTTTAAAAGCCCAAAGAAATTTGAAGAAAATACACTGATAGACACAGCTTAAACCACGGGGAGAGACGGGTGAGAATGGGGGGGAAATCTTATCACAATTTGTATGCGTAAAAAAACCCGGGAATCGGCATGGACCCAATCCATTTGGGCACTGTTGGTTTTGACCCAAACCCAAACGAAAACAGAAATCAAAGACAGTGTTCTACCTCACCCAGCTTCATGACTCTGCTGATTATTATCAAGATTTTTTTCTTTATATTGCTATGCTGCCTGGCTTTATTTATTTATTATTTTTTTAAAAGAAAGAATTTTAGATTTGGTAGAAAGCAAAGGAGGGGTTGCAGAACTGGCGTGGATGTCCCGGGAGGTAAGACGCTTCCCTACCAAGGAGAAAATCATCGGCTACAGACAACGCGGTGCTGGTTTGCAGAGGAGCAAGGAGTCTGGCAAAGGGCAGAGTCATTTCTAACTTCATCCTGCTCGTAATGAGGCACGTGGCCGCCCTGAGGCTGGGTCTGTCAGAGAGGAGGAAGGGGATCATGATGGCCATTGATACAAAGAGGGTGGAACAGGGGCCCTTGAGGGTGCTGCTCTCTGGCCCAAAGGCTGGGATCCCCGAGTCGCGTTCTCGCTCTCGGCCTACATCCCGCAAGGGCGGTCCTCCCTTCTGCCAATGGATGCCCGGGATGGAAGCGCGTGAAGTCCTCCTCCTCCTTCTCCTCCTCTCTCTGCTGCCTGGCACAGGCTTGAGTAGGCCTTTGCCTTTCTTTGCCTGAAGCCTGTGCTACTCACGCCAAGGCCTCCATGGTCTCCTTGAAAAGAGAGGACAAAAATAAACAACAAGAAGGGAGAGGAAAGGTGCCAAAAAAAAGGGGGGGGGGTATTAGTTTCCTCTCACAAGAATGGGGTGAGGGGAAGAAGACGAAGATAACAAGGATAATAATGATAATAATAAAGGATTCTCCTTTATTATTACTTGTGTGCTGACGGTTTGGAGCTGTTTCCGGATCACAAGGAAAGTATGGAAGCTTCCCTCTCTCTCTTTTGTCTGAATCGAGGACGAGGAGGAGGAGGCGGAGGCTGCCTGTCTGTGTGTCTGTCTGTGGGTCGGTCTGCCTGTCTACCCGCAGCCGGCGGGCGGGGCCGAGGAGGCGTCGGTGGCGGCGCTGTGGGAAGCGGGCCGGGCCGGAGCCATGTCAAGAGAAGGCCACCAAGAAGAAGCCGCCCAGCTCCCTCAGCATCCCCGCGGCGCCGTCCAAGGCCACCGGGCCGCCCGCTCTGCCGCTGCTGCTCAGCCCCAGCAGCCTGGTCCCCATCGCCGACGCTCGGCGCCCCGGAGCCGCCGGGGAGAAGCAGCAAATGGCGGCGGCGGAAGGAGGAGGAGGAGGAGGAAGGAGGACGGGCCGAGAGGAGGAGGAAGAGGACGAGGAGGAGAGAGGCCTAGCAGTCCCTGCGCTACGGAAAGGGAGAAAGGAAGGAAGAAGGAAAAGGAGGAAGGAAGGAAGGGCAGGAGGCCGAAGAGCGAGAGAAGGCCTCCCTCCTGTCCCCTCGCAGCCGAAGGACGGGCCTCGCCTTCTCTCGCGCTGACGACGCACACGAACGAGGAGCCTTCAAAATGGCAGCCGGCACCGCTCCTTCTCGCTTGAGTCACACACAAGCTGGCTCCGCCCCCCCTGGCGCACTGCGCAGGCGCACTCCCGCGAGCCGTACCATGTAGGGAGAAGGAAGGGGGGGGGAGAGGGAAAGAGCTGACAACTGGACGGCGCTTAGCGTGCAGATTGAGTGTACGTGGACTGTACCACGTGGTGAGAAAGGATAGGGGGAGCTGATCTTGTATATCAGGCCTGGGCAAACTTCGGCCCTCCAGGTGTTTTGGACTTCAACTCCCACAATTCCTAACAGCCGGTTCTACACAATTAAACAGGAAATAACACTTTCAAACCACAAACAGAACATTTTTCAAATTGTGTTACATTGTGTAATCCTTGGACAGCACGTAATGGCACAAAGTACAGGATGTGAAATACAAATGGGCATTCATGGTACTAAATTCATTTCCTTTTCTCCCATTTTTAATGAAAGTTTAATATTCTGAGAAGTAGGAGTAGAGGAACATAGTAAAGCATTTAATTTATTGAACACATAGCATTTAATTTACTGAACACATTTCTCTCAATCTCAATCTCAATCTCAATCTCAGTTTTTAATAATGTCTTGATGTACTGCTATTGTTGTTATTTTGCTATTGTTTGATTTGTTCTGCTTTTGTGATGTCTGTTTCTATTATATTGTGTTTTGTGGCTTCGGCCTGTGTAAGCCGCATCGAGTCCTTCGGGAGATGCTAGCGGGGTACAAATAAAGTTAATAATAATAATAATAATAATAATAAAGGACTGAATGACTTCAGCTTATGGGGTTTTATCTTCTCTGGGTAATATAATATTCTTAGTTAACCTTCTTTAGTTGTTTAGTTGGTGTGGTGAGTGTTAATGAGGCGGTGAGTGTTTCCAGCTCATCCCTTGTTTGGGTATCAGCCAGCATGTCAACGACTTAAATCAAGAAATAGTTTTCTAAGATCTACAGAGACACTCGCTAGAACACCCCAGCAAGCGAGAGTCCAAAAGTGGCAGGCTCAAACCCAGAACCTCAATCAATGGCTGATACCAAATGAGAGACTCCCTCCTGGGCACACAGAAAACTGGGCGACTTGAAAGGCGCTGAACAGACTGTGCTCTGGCACCACAAGATGCAGTGCCAACCGTAAGAAATGGGGCTACAAAGTGGAATCCACGACATGCGAGTGTGGAGAAGAGTAAACCACTGACCACCTGCTGCAATGCAACCTGAGCCCTGCTACATGCACAATGGAGGACCTCCTTGCAGCAACTCCAGAGGCACTCCAAGTGGCCAGATACTGGTCAAAGGACATTTAATCAACTACCAAGCTTGCAAACTTTGTGTTTTGTCTGTCTGTTTGTTTGTTTGTTTGTTTTGTTAAAAAATGTAATACAAATGTCTGCTTGCTCCTGACACAATAAATAAATAAGCTAAACCAATTTGCCTTCCCTGAAATGGATGATAAAGCCAAAATCACTGATTTCAAAAGAGACCAGCCCCCCATCTCTTCTCTTGCATTTAATTTATTGAACACATTTCTCTCAATCTCACTGGCTTGTAACTAGCCATATCACCACAGCAATTTTATCAACATGCTCATAATTACTCTCTCCAAAGTCTAGCAGTTCTCAACCAATGGTTCTTAAAAATAGGCATTCGCCCTTAATGTTACCTTGCCATCTAGTGGGAATTCAGCAGAAAGCATGCTGAAAGGACATTTCAGCTGCTGATCGTGCACAGATGTGAAAGAAAAGTCAAATGCTACACAATGCATATAACAGGAACACAGAATGAATCAAGAAGAAGGAAACTGTAAGACAAGGAAATAAACATTTTGCTAACTTATCCTAAATATTAACCCTCATTGGGTTTTTTTTTTTGTCGTGTCAGGAGCTACTTGAGAAATTGCAAGTCGCTTCTGGTATGAGAGAATTGGCTGTCTGCAAGGATGTTGACCAGAGAATACCCAGATGATTTGATGTTTTTATCATCCTTGTGGAAGGCTTCTCTCATGTCCCCGCATGAGGAGCTGGAGCTGATAGAGGGAGCTCATCCGCGTCTCCCCGCATTTAAACCTGCGACCTGTTGGTCTTCAGTCCTGCCAGCACAGGGGTTTAACCCACTGCGCCACCGGGGGCTCTATACAGTTACCCCTCATTGTAGAAAATAAATTGCTAAGGGCTGGTAAGAAGCAAAAAGGACCAACCTTCGTCCTGACCCCTGTAACAAAGCTTGGGAAATCGTTTTTTTGTTTGTTTACTACAATGGCCAGCAGCCAGCATGACCATCCAGCATGTTTGTTAGGGGATTCTGGGAGTTCTTTGTTTGCTGCTATATCTATCATTATAACCTACTGGGAGCAGCAAACTGCTGTTATGGCAGCATGTTTCACAGTAGTTGTCAGGGATCGGGTCAGTTTAGGTGGTCTGTCCAATTTGGGGTGGTTTGCGTGTCCTCCAGTACTATTCAAAAAGGACTTCAGGAGATTTTCCATTATGTGTGTTTTCTTCTGTTCATTTATCCTAGGATACAAGCCATTATATGGCTTCACATTCGCTTAGAAACATGCTCTAGTGCATTGAATAGGGAGCTCCTTCCAAGTAAGTGGATTAAGAACTAGAGTGCCAAGAGGCTGACAGCCAGTACACACAATGGCCACGCTGTGATGACTTCCCTCTTATGGTTAGTGGGAAACTTATCATAGTCTTACATGGATAGCTTTATACATCTTCAAGCCCAGCTTTAGATTATTATTTTTAATTTATTCATTATTCATCATAAACATTTATACAAATAACGCACCATTAACATAAAACATACAATAAATAAGTTGAATGTATAAAAATCCTATATTTTTATACATTTAACCTCTACGTGCACCCACCACCCATGAGACACTTATTGATCCTTAATATTAATCATTTTTATATTGATCTCTTTTCCAAAATGCTAATACTATATATACTTGAGAATAAGCCTAGAATAAGCTCCCCTTAGCTTATACTCGAGTCAAGATTATTTATTATTTTATTCTGTTATTTGTATTATTTTTATTTCATGTATTATTTTATTACATTTACAGTATTTTACTCTATTATTATGATTATTATTATTACATTTATTATACTTTATTATTATTGCATTTCCATTATTTTACTTTATTATTATTATTATTATTATTATTATTACATTCATTATTTTACTCTCTTTATTATTGTTGGAAGGATACGTCAATACATTTACATTGAAGAAGGTTAAAATAATGATTTAATCAGAGTTGGGCAGTCTTATCTCAAATTCCAATTTTATGTAAATATTCAACACCATTTCACCTCCTGATGCCTCAATTAATGTAATTTTATTGGTATCTATTTTTATTATGAAATTTACCAGTAGCGGCTTCATTTCTCACCCTTGGCTTATACTCGAGTGAATATGTTTTCCCAGTTTTCTGTGATAAAATTAGGTGCCTCGGCTTATATTCGGGTTGGCTTATACTCGAGTATATACAGTATATGTTATTTGGGTTTATCCCTTGTTCTTTGACAAATATGTATTTTAAGAATTTACAACATATTGTATTAAAATAATTTATTTTTGTTAATCTCTTTTTCATTTTATTTCACAAGTCAGTTTATTGTTTATTGCACTCTAGACTTTAGAAAGTCCTGTGCAAATTGCTTTTATTTCTTGGAGGCCTGATTGCTCATTAAGAAGCCCATGGCAACTGTAGCACATGAAACCACAGATACTTCTTAAGCAGAACATAGAGATGGCATTTTTTGGATTGTAATGCTCAAAATTTCTCATGCAGTATAGTCAAGTAGCTGTGCTGGCAGTTGTAATCCAAAGTATATCCCTTTTAGGTTGTTTCTCATATGACTTGAATTGGATTTAACATTTTGGTTAACAGAATTATTCAGATAGAAGGATAAATGAAACAAGTATTGTATATCAGTATGTTTGTTCAGCATATTTATTTACAGTACAGCATTATTCACCTGCATGCACACACACAAACACTCAACTCTGACTGTTCCCCATTTTGAGAACCTGGAAATTAAATGAATTTAAGTAGCATTGTTGACTTGACACATGACATAAACAAAATAATCAACTCTGCAAAGATGCAAAATATTTTTTATTGTGGCATAATAGTTAAACACAAGCAAGCTAGGAAAAGTTAAAGCATCTATGGGAAAAGTGATTCTTGTGTTCTGGGGAAAGATGGAAAGTGACATTTTATTTGCCAAGTCTTATTAAAATTATATG